CTGCAGAGGGTACGTGTACTTTCTATCCCCATTCCTGAGGATCAGTCAGAGATGAGGCTGACATGGGGCAAGTGGTAGAGGGGCAGGCACAACCAGAGTATACGGAGTCCCTCCCAGAAGTTTAACGGTATCTTGATGCTCTGCAGATACAAAAAAGAACCAGAGACATGTCCACCTGAACATAGTCTAAGCTAATCTTGACACAGTTCTTGAAAATACTTCTATTTATTTTGAATCATTTTTACAAATCTTTTAGTATGTTAGAAAGCCACCTCATTATGAAACCTCCACTCTCTGGATTGCAGGTCTCTTAGTTTCTTTAGGCCAGTTCCCTTATTTGTACTTAATTATTAATCAAGGGGCCTGACAAGCTGCTCCAACTAAAGATGCTGATGATTCAGTAGTTTGGTAGGAGGGTCATCCGAGGATTAGAGTCTGTAAACAGCCTTTACGAAAAGATAAATTTTTTTGTCAATTAATTGGCCTGGAGAATCTTGTCATTTCTATCTGTCATTGTTGAATATTATTTTACTGCAATATTTTGAAATAGAGCAAAAAAGGAAAAGTGTCTAGTTAATGCTTTTGGCAAGCTCTCTGCTACTTAATAGCTTCTTGAAGTCCTAAATTTCTTCATTTTTCATCTTAATTAGTATTTTTAATTGACCTTCTGTGCTCTTTAATTTCTCCCAGCAAAGGATTAAAAAATAGACTTCTAAATTCTTTTCTGCAATCAGATTGACATGAAATTGCTTGTCTACAGACCATCTCCGCCTTAACAAACTTTTTTTCATTTTTATTTTTTTACTACTGAAGTCCCCACTGGAAATTACAGTTCATTGAACCATAGAGCTAGAATTGATTGTGCACATAAAAAATCCTGGAACAATTGAACAAAGAAAAGAACTTCCTGGAATTCTACGGTAAAATCAGAACTCAAGTGACAACAAAACTTCTACCCAATTTAGACTCACCTGCCCTCAATCATTAAGAAAATATTTGATGTTCCTCCATTTTCTCCTGATGAGAGAAGGAACTAGTTTTTCCTTCATTTAGCCTACATCAAAGCATGGTTATAGATGTCAAAGAAGATGAATTTCAGTCACCAACATTTTTATGGGGCACTCTCTATTCCATCTTCTTTATATCAATTTCTTATGCTTTTTGTAGAATATTGGAAAGCTAAGGCTAAAGAACCCTGTCTAATTGCTTTTAATTAATTTTTAATTAAAGCTTTATGTATCACACATTACAATTCTAGCAATCCTAAACATGATTATTACCATTACCTTCTAAAATATAGACGGCAAGTCTCCTTTTTAAGGTATTGTGAGAAATTATAGTCAGTTCTTTCTAAGGGAGTTTATGGAAAGCATTACTAAAAATGCAAATTCTATGTTTTGAGACTCGAAACTACTAATCCTGGAGCTTACTTTTATATTCTGAGATGAAATAATGACATCTTAAGCACTTAAACCTTCACTATGAGCAAGATAGGCAAGTACATACTTTGTTTCAAGCATCTTAATTAAGTGGGTTCCATTGGTATTTTCATGTGTTTAATGTTAAGCATATGCCTATGTACTTTTCTGACATGCTGGATGGTATTTAACAGAATGAATTACATCCCAGCAACTAACATTTCTTTAAGAATCCTAATAATGTAGGAAGTATGCAAAATAAGCTTTCATTTTCAAGATAAACAGACAAAGTAACTTTTTGTGAGCATTGCCTTTTTATTGGTGCATCCAGCTGTAAATCATGCCTTGAAAGCAAAACCGTCTTCTTTTTAAATGCATTTTTTGAAAAATAGTGCATTATTTTCTCCTGAGCTGTTGAGACAATTTCCTGCCTAGATATGGTGCCCCATTAATTTTAGAGTATAAGAAAAAGTCACTGTGAGCCATAGGGAACAATTTTGGATTTGCTGCACACACATATATCACAATAGATTTGCCTATAGTAGTTCTGCTGCTGATGTTTAACAAACTCCTGTTTTCCCTGTTTTGGGATTAATGTCCTCCTTCCTTGAGATTTGTGCAGAAACATACCCTTATGTTGCACATAAATGGAGAATTCTTTTCATTGTGTAAAATTTGAAATTTGAGTGCAATTACAGTAACAAGAGGAACTCTTTCTAATGAGTCTCAAAAAGCCCTGGCCAAAAAACATGTAAAACTCTCCTGTAGAGAAAGAAATTGAGTGCACGGTGTTAGCATAATAGCAAGGGCTGAGACATTGCTTTGCACTACAGTTTTATGGGATGATATTTTAAAAGGTATTCAGAGATTTATGACTTTTTAGGGACAGCTAAAATTGTTTTCATATTTCTAATATTGCTTTCATTAGAATGTTGAAAGTATGTTTACGGTATCAGAATGAATTCTAAGGTGTTACCAAATCATCCAGAATCCCCACTGCTTAAGTATACTCCCTATGTATCTTCAGAGGAAAAAATCAGATGAATGCTACTGCTTTGTTTTAAAGTATATAATCTGTATTCTGTCATGTACTTCATCTCCCAGGGAAGGTATCTGGGAACTCACTCTGCTGTTTTTATTTATCCTGCCAGTGTAGTATATAGATGAGAGGACTAAGGTCCAATGGTGTTAAAACAAGACATGAAATATTGATTAATTCTTTTTTAAAATTCCTTTTTCCTCCTGAGTATAGCAAATTTCAGATGCTACTGTCAATATAGTACTCTCCAATAAACCTCCATTATTGGAAGGGTCCTGATCTTCATAGTGTTCTTATAAATGGTTATTATGATTCTAAATGGCTTTAAAAGCTCAAGGCTAGTGTTCTTCTGGTGCAAGAGCGGAAAGCAAGTTAGAAGCAAAGCAGCTTTTTATCATGGCAGAATGTTACTCTGAAATAACATGAATCAGATTGGGAATTCTCTTTGCTAGACAGCAGCAGAACATTCTGTTTGAAGAAATGAAGATCCTAACGGGACAGATAAACAGATGTACAGTTTCATGGCTATAAAGGTGTCAAATAAAGAAGCACAATTATAGTTGGTGTCCACCTAATGAAATGCAGGTATTTGACACCCTGCCTTTTGTTCCCCCTTGTCATTCTTCGGTGCTAAGTTAACCCTTTCCTTATTGTTGCCAGAATGGTCCTTTACAAATGTAGCTAAACAGATACTTATGAGTATCTAAGGATAAAGACATTTCAGGAAAGGTAGGGATAGAAGTTCACACCAGCTAACCCATGAAGCTTGACAGATACAGGCAAGGAAGAGAAGATGTAGTCCAAACTACTTTGAGTGTTCTTGAGCACAATAAAACTCTCTGGAAGTTGAGGTAATTGTTTTTCACTTTAAAAAAAAAAAAAAAAAGATTTCTTTAAACTGGAGGGTACTGGAGTTTCTTTAGGAATGTAAAGTTCTCGGGGCTTTTCTACTATCCATAATAAAAGGTATTCATTAAGGAAGGAATTTGAATCTCAGTCCTGTATGTGTCGGGTAAATGTCATTATAAAGGTTGTACAACTACTTTATCACCCATCATCTTAATTAATATTTAGTCAAACTTTGACAAGAAAGAGCAAGGAATTAATACTGAATCTAAGCCAAAACCACTGATTGGCAGATTTAGTAGGGAGGCAGGAAACCATAGCATGTTTTTACTCTGAACCAGGAAGAAACACCTGAGGTTGGTTCTTCTGTCTCACAGGAAAGTTGGGGTTTATAGGCTGGATAAGTTGCTATATGGTATTTTTTTTCCACATGAAAGCTTTATTCCTACTCTAGGATGAAAATGTTTTCAGAAGATTTTGTTGATGGGGATAACTGATTTGCACATAGGCCTACTTCTGAGTTCTTTTGTAGCAAAATTTACTTGTGTGCAAAACTTAGGCTGCTTTAACTTATGATGGAGAACAGACTGCTCCCTTCTGTACCCAAAATCTAAGAGCTTGTAGATGTGGCATAAAGCTAAATTATACCCTGCTCTCTCACACCCAGCTCTCTCAAATTGAGCCAAAGTTGGGGCCATGTTAAGGTGTTTTATGACTTTTGTGATATATTTCTTTGGAAATTGGACGAGTTATTTATAATTTTAAGGTAATTATCTTCATTTATTTCAGTCAAACTGAAAGTTATATGTGCACAAAGATGGACTTCAACCAATGTGTAAGCAGTGAGGACTAAGTGTGTTCTTACTACTTACAAGGTTTTAAAGCAGTAAGTCTCGCTTGCCCACATTATACGGGTAGCTCTGTTGACTCCCAGTACCCAACTGGTAACACTTGTGTGAGTAGAGTGAACAGCATCTGGTCTGCAATTAACAATGCATACATTTGCTCGCGTAGCTGATGTGTGAGACAAATCCTTACACGTGTCATTTGTTCTCACTCATGGAGGTAATACTTTTGGACTGATTTAATGCAACTAGTTATTTGAGCAAAGGCTATCAATCTGATCACTGTCCTCTTGTGTTTTTATCTCTGCTATGTTATCTGAAAGAATGATAAAACAAAGTTTTGTAAAGGGATATACACAAAATTTTGTTTGTCAAAGCCTTGTATTAGATGGTTTTCTACCAAAATGTCCTCAAAAGTTTCATTACTGTGTGTATTTTCAAGCTGAGGATAGCCCACTGCAGATAAGATTTTGCTTGTGGAAGAGGATGGTACATGCTCACATGCACACAGCACAAACTCTGCCAGTAGTCTGCTTTTTGGCTAACTTTATCTCATTTTACACACTATACTAATTGCCGTCTTTCAGATGTAAAAATAATTTTCTGTCTTATAGGAGATGCAGTGTTTGACTTTAGATATTTAACATGGTATTTTTTCTGTGGACAATAGCTTGAGGCCCCAAGCTGGCAAGAATGAGAGCATATCTATAAATAATTCAAAATAATTGTATGGTTTTGACAGATTGTCAAGTTGCTTAATGCCTTTTGTCCCAGGTAATAGATTATATTTCTTTGATGAAGTGTTGATAATTTCTCATTGCAATTTGTTTTCTGTATGTTCCATTTTTACAGAGTCCAGTCAGGTTCATATCTGAGTACGGGTTGGTTTACCTTAATTTTGGCTATGGATGCCTGCTATGGAATTCACGTCTATGGGATGATAAATGACACCTACTGCAAGTAAGATCACAGGAAATTATTTTCATGCATCTGCAATTCTGATGTCTTGTCAAAATTTCACAATTGATTTTAATATTATAAATCCAAAAAAATGGATCAGGCAGTCATTTCCCAGTGTTTTGCATTGTTGTGACACTATTGTCAGCATATTTAGTCCTGATATGGCATTTGCTGTTGATAAAATAAAAACATTTACAAAATCTTACATCAGATGTCATAAAGAACTATTTTTAGTCAGTTTCTGAATTAGCTGGAAACAAAGTATGTTCATACTCTTCTGACAGAATATATTTCTACTGCTAAAACAAATCTATAGAGGAAATACTAATATATTAATTCTCTGAATACCAAAGTGAAATAAACTGATTAGCCCAGGATTGTTACCTGAAATTACATTTCACCACCATTGAGCAACCTGCTTGAACTTTCTAGGTTATATATGGCTTGTTTTGAGTAGTGGGGGGTTTCTAATTAGATAATAAAACAAGTTCTGCAGGCCTTATCACAGTAAACTGACATAAATTCCAACCAACTACTGTTAGTGACCTTAAGTGACAATGGATTAATCCTATTGTCAGAAGTAACACAATTTTTAAAACTCCAAGTTAAATGCTTTAATCTCCAGTATATGGTAGCAAAATATAAAATGAAATTAATCCTCATTCAGAGAAGCAGGGAATGTCATAAGCAATGTATGGTACTAGTACAAATCTATTCTTCTGTACCTGGGCTGGTTCAAGTGCTGCATGTAAGCAGTCCAGTGGGTCCTCAGCTCCTAGAGTAAAGTCTTTGTGCAGACCCTCACTCCACATTCTGTGTTACTCTAGTGTGGGACTCATTCCTGGCAGACCCTAACAAAAATAAACCAAAAAAGAATTTGAGTCACAGCTGTTTAATTAGGGTATCTTAACATTAGAGACTGACTTTTTAGAACTTGCGGATCTCACTGATTGAGTGAGTCATCCAGATGGAACGAACATATGTTGTTCTTTGTTTATGAAAACACAGTAGACGCCCTGAGATGAGGGGTGACAGGACTAAAGTTGTCCTCACAGAGTTCAGCGAAGCTGGCATTGCATAGCGCTGATGTAAAACCAGTTAACAGCATGATAGCACTTCAGTCTATCGGCAGCACAGAAGGAGGAGTTTCCTTAAAGCTGCAATTCTGGCTGCATTACCTACTTATAATGTATATTATTCTTATAACGGCTTTATTCAGCCAGTTCAAGAACTAGTTTCAAGTGTTGAGACTATCCAATGAGCAGGGATGCTTAGGGATGGAGCCTTACAGACTGAGTTCTCCCAGGTTAAACAAAATGTGCAGTACCCGTAAGAACTGGCCCATCAGCTTCTGTCTGACTGATAAGATCCGTGTATTTTGAGAGATACGTGTAGCTTTATTTTCCATAGGAAAATTATAGAAATCATGCTGTAATGAAAGCCCTTATACAATTTAGCAAAGGAGCCCAGGTGCTGACACATGGAAAGAATTTCAGTGAATTTAGATGAAGTACATATTAATGTTGTTTTGGAAATAATACTTAAGTGTATCTTTTTTTTTTTTTTCCCTAGGTCAGAAGGCTTTCATAAGGTCCCCTACCACTATTATGAGCCAGGAAGAGATGAGTGCGAGGAATACTTTCTGCATGAAAATGCTCCATATGGAGGCCATAGGTTTATCACAGAAAAGAAAGTATTTGCTAAATGGGCAAAGAAGCACACAATAATATTTACACACCCCAACTGGACAGTGTCTTGATACTGGTTTTCTTAAATCTCCCTTAACAGCATATTACAAAAATGTCTCAGTTTACAGTAATTTTGCTTACATCCGGCTGGCCTTTCTCAGCCTAGGTAACACTAAACTAAAAACTAAAAGACAAAGAGGGTGATGGTTCAGCTGTTAAGCAAAATTAATTAATCTCTGGAAGGCAGACACGTTGTTTGTTATTTCTTAGGGTTTTACTCCACACAATGCACTTTATACTTAAACTGGATTTTACTTCAAGGCAGTAGCAGTTAAAGGCAGATGAGATTTCCTGTATCATGAGAGAACACATGAGAACATGGTGGTCCTTTAAAACTTGTCCATGACCTTAGTTAATTAAAATTAGTATTTGCAGCTCATTTGCAGTACTGCAGCACTAGTTCCATTCGTGGTATTAGTGGTAATAGAAATGGTAGTGGTATTAGAAATTTTCCACAAAAGAAATATGAGGAAAAATACAGACCTCCAAGGTCTATGAGTGAGTAAATTTCAAGAAATTCCTGAATACATTGCATATTTAAGCACTTGCATATATGGTAAAATTAGAGATGAGCTGCACATCGTTCTTGAACTGCACACAGCTCTCACATGAGAATATACTATTTACTCAAGGCTCCTGATTAATTCATAACTTCTGAAATGCAGCTTCTTACCACCCTGGTCAGGCTGCACCATCTTCTATGGTGTGTTTTGTAATTTTTGAGGCTGTTGTCCCACAGTTTAGCTCCAGCAGCATGGCACATAGCAAACGCAGTATTTTGCAGCCTGTGATGAACCTTTGGCTGTAGTACCAAGTCTGCTGTCAGTACGCAAGCTGGTGAGTGTAAAGCTGTCTCATGAACATCTCCATTTGCTCCAGTTGTGCCTTCAAGTTGCTCCAACATCCAAATACCAGTATTTTGACAGTATTTCCCATGCAGCCATCATAATTCATTTTAAATCTCCAGTTTCTCTATCTTTGAAAATGGGAATAGTATCTGTCTACCTCACGAGGGAGTTGTGAGGATTAATTTAAGTCCATAAAACACTTTCCTGATGAAGAATGCTACAGAGCATTTATTCTTAACACAAAAACAATGGTACCTGTCATTTTTCTTGTCTGTTGGGTATTCAAAGAAAGTGACAGCATGTCTGGATCTGATGGAGAATTGTTCTGTTCATCCAGTTTCCTACTGAGGATAATTTGTAATAGTGCGTTCTCTCAGCTTGCATTGCTTCAGATGGAGTTGAAAGAACTCACCACCTTGCAGTATTATCTGCACATCAAGAGGCAGTTCAGGAATTTTAAAATATACTCATCTCTAGTTGAAATATGTATTTCCAGGCTTATTCTCATGGAAAGTTTTCAACCGCACCAGACTCATTTGTAATATGACCATAATTCAACTACACATGTGAGTTTTATTTAAACTATATTTAAATTAATGCTTTAAGTTTAGAATATGTCCTATGAATCTTTTAACATCTGGAATGTCACATTTAACACTGTAATAGCCAATACTGTGAACACTTGAAAGAATTATGTGTGGAACATGACACACAGGGTTTACTCACACTACTTAAACATTAACCAACAGGAAACTTTGTATGCTTTTGTAAATCATGAAAAGGGGAAAGTAAACAGCTATTTTTACATGTAAGTATTTGTATACTGACTCTTTCCTATTGTATATTTGTATATATAAATCTATATTTTATATGTTCATGGCATATATATTCTCTCATCAGCAGCTGCAACTCTTAGGATGGGGAGGAAATCTCTTAACCAGTGTTCCTCCTCCTGATCATTGGTTTCTTTTTCCTGTTGGTAGGTGATGCCAGGGTATCATCTCTCTTACCCCTTCTATTTTCTACAATAAATGCAGCTTTCTGATTTAATTTTTAATATAGCTCAGCTTTCACTGCTTACTTTAGTGCTGTAAATGTTCATGCTGGTTGTCAGACAAAGGCTGGGGCCATGCTTATGATCCTGGATAAACATCTATATTCAAATACATGCGTGACTTGATGTCTCGCCTTCCTGTTTGGAAAAGGAGAACGATAATATTTCCCTACTCCTTGTCTTGACTGACTTTCTTATAAGCTCTTGAGACAGATAGTCTCATTTGCAATGTATTTGTATAATGCCTTGCAGAAGAGGTGCCCAAAGTGTCTGAAGGCTACAGGCAATGCTATAATATAAAAATAATTTAAAGTGGCTGCTTCTTGTCCCTGGAGTTTAAAATCAATTGTAGGCTAATATAGCATGGGATGAAATCAAGAAGGGGAAGGGTCATGGATGGATGAAGAGTTGTAGTAGCAAAAGACAGTGAGCTAGATTTATTGCCATATGCATATGCAACTTTTCAGTTCAGATGGATGGCTGGATAGATGGAAAGCTAATTACAATTTTGTAATGTGGGATTTGAAGAATGCAGGACACACAGAACTAGGGAGAATGCTCCACACGTATTGTGCAGGGCAGCCTGGGAAAACCTACAGCTCCCTTCTGGGATGAGGAGCTGAAAAGGACAACATGAGGCAAATGGAACTTGTATTTAGAAGGTCTTTCTGTTAATAAAAAGTAACTATGGAAGTGCTGCACATGAAGGTGGGGTTGGGCTGGACAGACTTACATGAGGTGTGTCCTCACGAAACACAGTCTTTCTCTCCAACGAGACCATAAGGATTCTGCCCGAGTTGTGTTCACATCCAAGGCAGTTTTTTAGCCTGAGAAAGTTTTTAAGATAATTAAGAACTGCCAAATTGCCATAAATCTGTTGTAGAATATGTGCTTCATAGTAAAGCTGTATGAAACAATATCTCATGCAAAGCCTAAGAAAAACACAGCTCTAGGAACAGCTAAATGTACAGCAAAATTGAGAACATCATTAGTGTGCAGTTGTCACAGAGCAAAGCAAAAGTGCTGCTCTCTGCTTGGATTTGCAGTAAGAGCAGATCCACTTTTAGAAACATTGCAACAGGCTTCATTCACACTAGAGTAAATGAACATCAGCTCCCTTATTTAAATGAGCCTGTCTTGAGCATAAACTAAACACCTCTTTGCATGATTTTTATTATATGAGTAAGAAACTGTGACCGCTGTATAAAAGATGATTCTACAAAGAAATGAATTCATCAAAAACTTTTAAAAATCAGCACTGTGGTACTGAAGAAAAAATCTCAGTACTTGGCTGTGTAGTAAGAGACCTTGATGATTCACCTTCTGAGAGCAGTTAAGACATCAGCTGAGAATCATTTATTACTTCTTTAAAATAAAGCCTACTACAGTTTACCTGAATGTAATCAGATCCTAATTGCTTATTCATTCAAGCAGTCCTATTTTAATCAACTACTCGTGTATAAAACAAGCAGGGAGTTTACCTGAGGTTTTCAAAATAGTTCTTCACATAGAGGAGTACTCACAAATAATTTGGCAATTTTTTTGCCATCAGTCAGCTAAGTAATCACCAAATGTTTTCTTTTATAATTTTGTCACTTTTCTGAAATGCACTTTTTGAAGGGGGAAAAAAAAAGACATTTAATGTTTGGCTTGCTGTAGACTTGGTTTCAATGAATGTATAAATTTTAATATGTTTTATGTTGTATTACCTTTTGATGTAATTTTTTTTCAAAGGAGCAGAAATTTTCATAGGAAAAAAAAAAGGGTCTTTTTGACTGGCAAATTGCTAATTAAGAGGTAATTAACTGAATAACATAAAAAACCTGGGTTTTGTTTTTCCAAACAAAGACAGCAGACATGATCCAAACTTCTCATCTCCACTAGATGTTCGGATCACATCCCTCTGCTAATTACTAAGGCCTCTTCACAGAAAGAAAAAAAGTGGTCTATGTATCCAGCCAAATTCCCTTTCCATCTGGGCTGGGAGGCTCCATCTGCAGACTGCTTCTATCAGTTACATCAGTAAGTGGGAAGGACTACGGAAGAGTTCTACTTAGGAGCAGATGGTGTTCCAACTTCTATAAAACACCCCTAAAGTGCTTTAGGAGAGGAGTACCCATTGATGTCTCCTGGAAATACTTTTCCAAAATACTCTGTTTCTTCAAATGCCTTTAGCTCCTGTGTAGAACTATTGTCCTACTCTCTCCAGTAGGAATTGCCAGCAATGGGAAAACATGCCCTTTACGGGAAAAAGTAGGGGCAAATTCTGTGTTGTTAAAGATTTCTATATAAGCAACACCAAGGATAAAGAAGTCAGCCTGACACAGCTTAACTGAAGACTCACTGATTTAGGAATCTCTGAGGACTCAGTTCAAAACTGATGGAAATCACTTTGGCAGGTTCTTGAATACAGCAGCCATCCCAGTAAAGCCTTTGCGCTCCTGTGTACTAAGGTAAGCAGTGTTTTGTCTGAGAGGTCCCATGTGCACATAATGCATTACATACCTAATACAGAGGAGCCCATCCAACACTTGGAGGTTGCTCTTTAGTCACCTGCTTGTGGGCTGGCCAAAAGTAGGACCCCCCCCACACAAAGATAGCTGACAGAAGAGCACAGGTGCTCAACCAGTGGATGTGACCAGGTATGTAAGAATTAATTTCACTCATGAATTATAACTGTATGGTGCCCTTAGTAAGTAGAAAATCAGAAGGACTTTATATACTGATGCTTATATTTTGCTGACTTTTTTTTTCTGCATATATCTCAGAAATAGCGTATGTCTTTAGTTGTGCTTGAGCAAGTCTGCGGTTTGTTTGTGATGAACCTTTGGGTACCCACAACAGTGAAACTTTGTTATTGCCAAAGGATCACACAGGAGCTGTCTGTGGGCACTGTGATGTACTGTGTACAAGAGGGAGTTGTGGATTTACTAAAAAAGGCCTAGTCTTCCTGGGTAGTTCTTTTGAGGAGAAGGTGTTTCATTTTCAGCAGATGTGTCTCATTCTGTTCCTTTTTTCCTGAGAGGAATGTGAATGCAGAGGAATGTGACTTAACCATGGGGTACTGAAGAACGGTGTGGTAAATAGCCAACAAACAGATTCATATATGTTTCTCTGGCTATTGCTGTGATGTATAGCTATCGACACAAACAAAATCAAGATTTTTGTAAACCCTGTATTGCATAATCTACAGAAGTCTCACATGACTGTTATGGACTGAAGTCTTCTAGGCAAACCCTTCAGAAGGGGCTGAAGGAGAAAGACAGGGTGTCTCCCCATTGACAGAGAGGGAGTCTGACTGTGGCAGAAGGCATAGTAATCTGCATGGCATCCCTGGGTCTGCTTCCCAGCTTTCGTAGGCTTCCTACTCAGCCGAATCTCTGGGCCCTTTTCAGCCCCATTGGATGAAGTATGTTCTCCAGCTGAGTTAGGCAGCCTGTGGGGTGCACAAAGTCTGCCCCGTCCTCCCCTTCTGTGGGGCCAGGGGAGTGGTGATGGTAACTTGAGGGCGCGGAGGGACAGATGTCAGAGCAGGAACGCTCCCTGGAGTCAGCAGCCCGGGATCTTGCCCGGGGCACAGTCTCACCTCAGGTGCTGAACTCAGTTTCTTTGAATGCGATGAGAAAGATATCACTGGGTTTTGTTATTGTTTGTAAGATCAACTCACAAGAAGTCACCATTTTGTGAGGGTCTTAAACAGCTGATTTTGTGTCTTTTTTGCATTGCTTGCTGTTATTTCTTGGAATTCCTCAACATATGCAACTGTCAGCGTCTGCCACTGCTCTTCTGATTTACTGGCCATAAAGAGACTGTAAACTTGAACTAATGCATGTTCTTACCATGTATTATGCATGATAGCATGTTACACATTTTATTCTCACACTATAATAAATAATATAAGTTGTGTGCAAAGTTAGTTTAAGCAGAGAAAGTAGTGCTTTTCCTTTCTCTCATATCATGTGTTCCTCAGAGCACTTTGCTGGAGCTCTGTAAGTGCTGTTAGCAGCTGGCAGCAAGGAAATTGTTGAAACAGTCAAGAAATATTTGCTAAATTTGACATTTTTCACTGGAATATCAGAAATAGTTAAACTTGCTTTTGTGAACCTACTCTAGTGCTCACAGTCATAATTCTGTGTTTTAAGGAAATCTCACATTTCAGTGTAACATCAGGAATGACTTTATCAACACAGTGTCAAGAGGTTGGCGGGGCAAATTTTTGACATTTTTGACATTTGTGGGAGTATCTTTTTAATGGAAATTGCACATATAGAAGATTGGCTAAGATGCCTGTAGTTTTTTCACATTATTGCTGCTGAAAATAGTATTTCTGAGGATGGCTGGGGAAAAAAAAAATGTCTGCTCGTTGCTCTTTTGGCTGCTCATCTGTCCCCTCCTCATACAGACAGACACACACACATCTGCAAACACAGAGAGTATATAGGGAAAGTCTGTTTTTTTCCAGACAGTGGCAAGTAGGAACAAATAAGACTAATCTCTTATATGGTGCATATAGGTTATAGTGCATGTTGATTCATATTTATTCTGTATATTTCCAAAGCCTATGTCTACATAAGCGAGGAATTAGCTCAGATCTGTAGCCTTGAAACTGGTGGTGCTGAGGACCTGATCTCCACACCATACACAGTCTCTAGTTTGCTCCCATGGGCTGAATGGCACTAGTGACTGGAGCACATCTTTTAGTTTCATCCAAAAGGAATCTAGTTCACATCCTCAGGACTGCTCCATCATGCAAACTAAAGCTTTTTAAGTGAGGCCACTACACTGGACTGCCCCACAGGGAAGTAAAATTCCTGTTAGCCCATCTTTTGGCTAAATAGAAGCCCTTTATTGTTTCTTTTTCTCCCCCCAGGCTTTGCATGGGTTTGTGGGGTTTTTTGCATAGGTATTTTTCTTTCAAATCTGAGATCTGATTCCTCCTGTCAGATCACAAGAATCAAGGGCCCCTGACTTCTCCTAAGATTACCTCCAAATGTGCTCCATAAGCCAGGAATGTGACATAGGACAGAGTAAGCCGGTATGGGTACAGCATGGGAAGTGCTGAGTCTGATGAAGAGTTAACTGTGATTCCACTTGTGGATGTGATTTTTATCATGAACATGCTGGATGCTTGCTAATGCATACATTGTTTTTATATACTGCATCACACATAAAAATTCCCTTCATCATTTTCCCAGGGTATTTTTGTTCTTGTGGCCTTCCAGTTGTATCTGTATATGTGTGCATATGTGCATATATACAGTGTACAAGCATTCTGAGCTTGTACTGCTCAGACAGTGGCTGCTATATGCTGCTAACATAAACTTACTTAGTTCATATTATGCTATTTATTTCATGTATTCTTTGGTTGCCTTGTAATGCTGACAAGTGTATTCATAGTAGATATCACTGTAGACTTAGAAAACTTTCATACTATTTATACTTATTTTAGATGTTCTGCTGTGTTTTCTTGCTATATGCTACTTAGTTTTTGCTCCCATTTAGAGAATGTGCTTCTGTGTACTTGCAAAATTGTGCCTGGGTTATTTTAAAAACTGAATAAATGTATACAATTTTCCAATTGTCTGACATAATTTATACATGATTGTGTGCTAAACAGTTTTATTCTTATTTAGGTATATGCCACTATAATAATACCTGACAGTTCACTGTACTCAAAGAGACAAAGATCTCTGTTCTAGAAACATGAACCATGCCTAAAGTATTTCTCAATTGACTTTAAAGACATTTTAAGGTATGTATCCTAAATATATCTGGTAATGCTGGGTAAACTCAGTCACAAAACCTACACTTACAAGAACTCATGTTTTTATTTCTGTGTATTAAAGCATACGTGTGCACACATGCACACAGGAAATCTGTTGGAAAGGTACATTGGATCGTATCCATAAAGGGTACATCCTTCAAGCACTTTCTTGGAGCACAGCACTCTCAGAAGTCAAGTCACTGAAGCGCCCAGGAGTGGACATTCAGCACATGCTTGAGAGCTGTGTGAGACTGAAGAGCTGTGGGAGAGATCACATCTTATGGAAAGGTGCAAACCTCTGCCTGCAGCTGTAATGTTGGCAAGAATATGAGGAGGACATATGTAACTTCTCTTCCATCATGCAGTGAACCCCATGGTGCTAACAGAGGAAGGAACTAGAACTCGTCTAACTAGCCTCTAATTTTCCTGTTTTATTGCCCAGTTAAGACTATAATTAAAAAGCAATATACTTCAATGTGTAAATTTTAACTTGGTCTATATGTGCTGAATTAAACACATGTAGACTAACTGGGTTTCTGAAAATATAGGAGATTCCAGGTGTGTTTCTCAGCACTGGCATATATAATGCAGCAACTGTTACCATCTAATTTTGGGCCAGAGTCTGGTACTCAGGTACTCATGGCACAGAGATTTGTTTCCTTTACAAACTGGGCTATTTTGTCAGCCAGTGCAATGAGGGGAAGGAAAAAGAGAATTTCTGTGATAAGACTAAAACTAAGTAAAGGGAAGAAATGCCATTCACATGCTCAGCTTTGAGGGTCCTTCAAATTTGATACACCGCCAAGGGACTTGTTAATAATTTGTGTGTTATTTTTCAGACATACTCTCTGAATATACTGTAATGTTCCCTTCAGAACCATTATAACATAAGCTGTGAACGCATACTAATAGTTTGATGTAATATGGATTCATTTAATCTTTTTTCCATGCAGGAAAGTGAGGTTTGTATATTACTCTTTAAGTACATTCATACTTAATAGTAGTGGCATGGGATTTGAATGCAAATTTATTTGGTTATTTGTCATAGAACCAGATACTCAGGTAAAGAAATAATCTAATTATTGAATTACCCCCTTAGACCTTTTCAAACCCTTATAGAATAGCCAGCCTATCCCCCTCAAGTTTTTGTTCCTGTGGCTTTACATTTGGATCTTATTAGTTTGCACCAGATCACCCAGTAATCCTTGTCAACTAGTCTCAGTGATCTTTTCTTTTCATTACCTGCTTCTCCCTTAATGACTGAGTCTTCTGCAAACCTTTGGGTTTTCTTCCAAATTGTTGATAAAAATGTTAACTAGAGTATGCCCAGGAAGCCTTCCCAGCAGAATACCTATTCTGTGATCATTCCTCATTTAAACTCACATTTCGAAATGTCAGTTAACCAGTTTTCAATTCATTTAATGTGCGACATGTCAATTTTGTATTATCATGGTTTTTAAACTCAAATGTCATGAATACCACATCAAATGTCATATAGAATCAAAGTATATCAACAGTGTTGAGTTTTGCTTGTAGTCACAATTGGAAAAAAGCCAGCAAATGTGTTTGACAGTATCTATTTCCCATATTGCACTTAGATTGGCATTTACCATATTTCTCCTCTTTAATTAGTTAGTAATTGAGTCCCCTGTCAGCCATTCCATTACTTTGCTTCAGATCAATTTCAGACTGACAGGACTGTAATTATCTAGGTCATTAAGTTTATCCTTCTTAAATATTAACACAACATAAGTTTTCTTCCAGCTTTCTGGAACTTTCCCAATTGTTCCAAGACACAGCAAAAAGCAGTAATAACAATGGAGATTCCTCTGTCAGCTCATTAACAACTCTTGGATGCAACTTATCTGAAGTTTCCTAAGAAAATATTTTTTACTTCAGTAGCTTCCATTTAATGTTTTTCTTGGCGTTTTTTAGTTGCCTGGTAGTTCATCATCCTCATAGAACATCACCAATTGTCTGTCATTTCCTTAAATACTGAACACAAATACTTATTGAACACATCTCTCTTGTCTTCATTACTATTAACAAATCTTCTGCTTCAATTTGATAAAGAACTGGTCCCGTTGTCAGGATTCCTAACATATTTGAAAAATATCGTCCTTAATTCTCTGGCCATAAATTTGTCCTTACAAATTGGCTACACTTATTGGAGGAACTATTTATGTAATTCCTTACTTCTACTCTATATTCAGTGTTATCAACATTCTTTCTTCATTTCATTGATTTACAATTATGTAAAGGCTTTCATTAACCCTTTGAGACAGATATTTTTTTAAACACATAGAGCTTGCTTTCCTAATTTTGCAGCTATTAAATAAAATATTTGTATTTTCCAATTATTGATTGGTTCTCTCTCCTAGCTGATTCTCCTTTACAATAATTTTCAGTTTGGCAAAAAGACTGCAGCATCCAAACTACTATTTGGGCTTCATTCTTTTTATGGCCATGAAGAGCAATCAAGCTATCATCATAGCCACTAATGTTTAGTTCTCTTATCAAGTCCTCTGATCTCTTTTCATTATTTGTGAGAGAGTACCTCACATAAAATTCTCATTTTTGAAGAGTTTCCCTTTTTGGTTTAAGAAATGTTCATATATAATGTTCAAAAATTCTGCAAAGGTTTTTGTTCCAGCATCATGAAACTTTAAGCATATGTCAGGCAGACTGAAATCTCAGATGATAGTGCAGCTTTTTTGCTCCTACACATTAGAGAAGGTACAAAGGCATCCAGTCATCCTGCTCTCTTCTATGATTTGGTGATTTGCAGACAGCAGCTACTATCACATCTAGTGTTTTATCTGTTAGAGTATCGATCCATTGCATTCAAGATCATTTACTTCTGAGTCGCCAGTGTTCTGAAAACTGACTGTCCTTTTTACTGTAGAGTTCTGCTCTTCTTCCCTTTCTCTCTACTTGATCTTTCCAAAATAGGTTGTAACCGTTGTTTTTAATGTTCCAATTATGCAGTTCATTCCATCTAGTGTCCGTAATACCAGCTATACTGAATTTATAAATAGTTAATTCTGATTCCTTTTTTACCCAGACTCTTTAATATTGGTTTATAGAAAATCTACTAGTTTTACATCCTTGATTAATTTTGTTTTCCCATCTTGATTTCATGTTGTATGAGGACTCATTTGGGTTCTTGTTTGGTTGGGTTTGGTGGTGTTTTTTTCATCAATTCCCCTTTTAGTATTCATTTTCAGCCTTTTGCTTAGCGGGCTGTCTGCCTTTCTACTGACAGGAGACCACCCAAATTGTGCCATCCTTTCACTTGCATCAAAAGACAGATGCTCCATCTTCAGAATCTTTTTTCCTGTCTTCCTTCATTTGCCAGCCAAGGATAATATCCTAGAGGATCATGCAGGCATTCTACTCCTTCAGCAACATTTTGGTCTCCCTGAACTTGTCTAAGACTAAGATTTCCTTTGAAAATCATTTCTGCCTCTGGAAGATTCTGAAATTGGGGTGGGGGTGAGCAGGAGATAGGGGGAAGCCATCTATTCTCACATGAAAATAGGCTGTTCTAACAAACCTTCCAGGAGCCTTCATTTTATTGTGAAACAGAGAAAACAGAGTTCCGTGGGTAGCCTCGTCCCTGGGCTAGCAGCTCCCATCTCCCCTCTGGATTGGCAGAATTCAGGAACTACAAAGTCTAAGTTCTGAGAAATTATGTAAAGTGGGCAGAGGAACTGTCAAAAAATGAAAGAGATTAAGAACTGGCTTGTTTTGTCAGAAAACTGATCAAAATCCGTATCTTTCTATGCGAAATTTAAATGACAACCCACTAGCATTCTTCACTGGAAAAAGCAAAACATTCTACTAGAGAATTAACTCTTCTCCTGTCCAGGGGAGAGCTATCTAAATTAATTGTCTTTGACAGGTGAGGTCTGTCCTCATCTTGGCATGGGAGATAAGGTACTGGTTACAACACATCTGGATAGACTTGCACAGCTTTTTAATTACAACAAAAGCACTTATCACAAATGTCTTGTAAACTGAGTGTCAACTGTGTTTGGATTGCAGCTGCCTGGCCGTGGAGTTTGATGACTTACCTGTTTAATAGGATGAAACGTTATCCTGCATTCTGTGACTAGCTTTGCCTTCACCCTATTCTTATAGTGTCTACAGTTTATCAAACACTATTGCTCAGGTCTTGAAATAAGACTAATCAAATCCATTTGCTCTCACATTGCCCTTTTTTTGTCAGCAGTTTGGAAAAGAGGTTCAGTTGATTGTTCTGATACACTACAAGTTGTATCGCTTCATCATCTTAGTGACTTGATTGATGAAAGACATTGACGTATGGTGATGTCACCTAGCAAAAAGTCTGATTGCATCCTTTTCCTATGTGTTAGTTCTGCAGAACTAGGAAGAGCGCTATGCAAATGTGATCCCTGAAGATACCATATAAAAACCGAAAATCCTCCAGCATCTAACTTTGCAGGATATGTCTACATGGCACAGTACATGCCCATGCCATGCAAAGATACTCTTGCTGGCTCTGAATGAACAAAACATGTCTGCACGCAAATGACATACCATTTGTTACATTTGTGCAAGGAAAAACAGGAAAAAATTTTGACAGAGCACAGCCTCACAGCTCGTCTTAGATATCTGGTTTCTATGGCTTGTGCTGCAAACAACAGGTTGAGTTCCTTGGAATGGTGAATAAATTTTGGTATTGTGTTGATTAATTCACACACATGCACACAAAGTGACATCTCATACACTAAAACATCATAGATCGAGTCACTGCCATGTATGTTTTTTCTGAAAGTATAGTGGAAGGA